AGTACGTGGAAAATAATGTGTTTTTTTAACTTTAAACCGCATAAACACATTTCATTACACCAAATACACAAAATAATGTTCTTTTTAGCAGCATCATATGACCCCTTTAAGACAGGTGAAAAGCGTTTGGTTAATGGTGAATATTGACCTATTGTGCGTACCGTTGTGGCTGCTGGTAGCAGGGGATAGTCGCTGCATTTGAGGTAAAAACGACGCAATTTTTTATTGTGTAAGGTGCCAGGAATATAAGGAGCCCCGGGTTGCACTGTCTGTTCGTTCACACGCATCTATCGGATTGACAGCTGCCTTTAGCGGTGCCTTTACCGATTACCTCCATCGTTCAAAGCATTCCGCACGATCATCTGTGAGTGACGTCACGTCACCTCCCAACACAAACACGCCCCGCCCCTGACACTGATTGACAGGTCTCCGTGTAAACCATCGGAAATTCCAGTGCGTTTGAGTTTTGGCAGGTTACACGCGAAACGCAGAGAGAGTGAAAAAGCAGACGTGGTAATTAATTACAGGCTCATAACTCGTAAGACATGGGAAATACAGTTGCAAATGTACCAAATATATTCTCACCAAATATATTCAGTGAATCTTTCAAATCATATGAACTGATCTGAACACACTTACAGTTTGCTGGTTTGTTCAGAGCAGACATCATTCTCTGCAAATGGATAAATCCTTTGTTAATTTTCAACGGTGACATCTATTTAAATATGCATGATTATTCCTCATATTACTTATAATTATTAAAAATCATTTTCAGTAAATGAAATTAAATTATAAAACTTAAAAACTTTTAAAAATGGCAGGTTACATGCGCGACGCAGAGAGAGTGAAAAAGCAAACGTGGTAAACGTAAGACATGGGAAATACAGTTGCAAATGGACTATGCTTTTTCATTTGAAATTTGGCAGTCACTGTGCATTCCTGAAAGCAAGATTTGCAATTGCGTTCGGATTATGTCACAATTTATGCGTCCACATGTGGAAATACAATTTGCAATTCCTTTTGAAAATAGTCCGGAATATCCTTCCATAGATTATATATATATATATATATATATATTTACAAAGTTTCATAATATACTCCCAATACAGTTGAGGCTGAACTAATTTTGGTATAAAGTACAGGAAAAAACGTGTTTTTTTAAATTAAAACATGGTACAATGATTTTTGTGCCTGTTCAATGGCAGAACCATGTTTGTCTATATATAAGAAACAAGACAAAGTATCCGGCACAAATAATATAATTTTCTGTGAAAGTCGCTTTTACACTACAAAGCCTTGACAAAGTTGCAAACGATGAACAAAAGATTAATTAATCTATTTTCTGACAATGGAAATAAAGGGCTCAGACCAGCTGATGGAATTTGGCAGAAAATGGTTACTCTTTTTTTGGCCGGGGTCATTGTCAGGATGTCCTTGATGATGCAACTGCAGGGCTGTTGCACAGAAAAGCCTCTCATTGGATTTACTCTGATAGACCAATCCTGAAGCTAGAATAAAGCTTGATTCAGAAAAAAAGAAAGGAGTAGAGTATCTTTCTTTTGGAAAGAGCATCAGTTCACATTCATTGTGATCAGCCAGTTTAAGATACAAGAACAACTAGCAAAATGTCTCATGATGGAATGTCCAGAGAAGAATATGAGGAGTATCAGAAGCAGATGGTGGAGGAGAAGTAAGTTTGAATCTCTTTTATAAACATTGGATATTCTAGCCCATTTCATCCAGGAGGTTTTTCATAATTTTATAAACTCAATGAGTATTACTCTCAAATGGAACGAACTGAAATGTATCAGCCAATAACATTCCAAACATTCAATTTATTTAAAAATTGTTTAGTGTCAAGTATATCTTTCACATGATACTCAGATAAAGGCTACTGTACAATACATTGGTTGAGCTGTGAAAGAAACTGTGTCCCCTGTATTTCCCCTATTGTAAATATGTTAAATGTGATGTACCCTGATGCTGGGCTGTTTTCTGATAACATTGTTGTTACAGTTCTTGGCTGATGCTGGTATCACTTTCCTGTTCATTTTCTATTCCTGTTCTTTGTGCGTTTTCTTTGGGAATAAAGGATGGAGAGAGATGCAGAATTCAATACAAAAAAGGCAGAAAGAGCTTGTCTGAGGACTTGTTTAAGAGAAAAATATCGACTTCCAAAGGTGAGAGTCCCAGGATCAGATAAATGAATCCCTTTCAGTAATGCTGAATTTAGTTATTCCTGTCCCCGACTGACTGCTTAAGCAGCACATGAATAGCATCAGTTTGCAGAGATGGTTAAACTATCAAGCATGTGAAGGTTGCAGTACAGACAGTGGCAGGAGATTAAGGCATAAAACAGTAAACTAAAATAGTGACTCTGGATGTTCAGGGCTTAAAGCCCAGAGTGATTAATCTCTAAAGTGAGCTTTAAAAGCACTGCTGTAGTTTTCAAACAGTGTGTTTCACTAGCAGTTTCATGTTGAGTGACATCTGTTGAAGGCTAGATTCATCAATAAGGAAGCTTATGCCAGACATTTTAAAGAGGACGAAGAGGGAAAATGTATAAAAGTGAGTTATAAGTTATAAGATATTATTATTTTACATGACCTTTCCAGGTCTACAGTACAAATCACACATTTACAAACTATTACAATTTTGCAAAGCTGTAACCACATATTCAGGATTTGGAGTGTTAGATCAGATTTTTTTTTTCTGAGATGGAAAAAAATAATACAAATTATTATTATTATTTAAATAAATATTTACCTGAAATTATCTGGGACAAATGGTATAATTTCCTTTTTTTTTATTCTACACTGCAAGATATAAAATTCTCTTTAGATTTTTAAGAAACGACTAATTATACACAATTAATTAATAAATTAACTTAAATTATTACAATGTTCGGTTACACTTTATTTTAAGGTGTCCTTGTTGCAGTTTAATTATACATTTAAGTACTGAGTAATATTAATTAACTAAATGTACTTACTATATGGTTAGGATTAGGGTTACTTGCATGTAATTATGCATAATTAATTGTTATTATAGTAAGTACATGTGACGTGTATAACAAGGACACCTTAAAATAAAGTGTTACCCAATGTTCATGTATTGTTATAATCAATATATTTACTTTTCCTTTATTTCAAAGAATGCTTGCTTATTGATATTTCAATGAATGTCTTATTTTTATTTTTCATTGTTCCCAATCAAACTGGCTTGCTAAACTAAGTAAAGAAGTGTGTCAGGTATGGCCAGTATCTGTATACAATACTATATACTAAACTAGATAAATGTTTTCCAAACTATTATAATATTTTTGCATTGCTCTAATCAACATTTGAATAATTTTAAAAAGAAAACAAATGAGTACTATATCAGTATCTTGAGAGACAATGTGACCATTTATTGAAGTAGCTAAACCGCTAATTTTACCACATCATACTCTGCTTTATTTATAAAAGTCATACTTGAGGCTTCCTTTAAAGCATGTAATGTAGTTCCTAGTATATAATCCTACATATATAAGCAAACAAGTGCTATTAGATTTGAATTGTTAGGTTTGATTGACTTGCTGATTGTTTTTTCCAGAGTGAACAGGATGAGATTATGATTCAGCAGGCCGGAGATGACATTCATGTGCCAGAAGAACTGATCAAGATGGTGGATGGAGAAGCACCACAGGAGGAGGAAAAGGAGTCCATCATGGGTCAAATGCAGAACCTTCAGAACATGGATATGGGGCAGCTCAAAGAAAAGGCTCAGGCCACATTTGTGGAGATGAAATCCAAGGCTGAGGAGAAGTGCCCTGTCATGTAAAGTGTCGAGGAAGTCAAAGTTATCTAGTTGTCTAATCTTGATGACTTGCAATTGCTTTCGCAGTGAAACTATTAATAGTTTCCTTTTCCTGAGAAATATTGATCACACTTTAGGAGATGAATGTCATTATTCCGAAATGGATTTGTGAATTTATTCTAAGTTCTTTCATTTGGTTTCTTGTTTTTCTTTTTAATCAATTGTTTTTATTTTGTTCCTTGTTTTTCTTTTTTAATCAAATTGTGATTGACCTTCTCATCGAGTAATCTTGAATTACAAAGTCAGAGTTATGACCAATATCTACATGCTAAAAGATAATGACAATCGATTCATGCGCTTTATATTTAAAAATAAAGGTTATTTTTCTAAATATCTCTTTAAAATCCATATGAAAAAGAGATGTTTTGAGATGTAATGAGGTGACAGGATTTGTAACATAAATGATCATTTAAAATTACTAAATACTTACAGTCACAGTGTTACAGTATTTTCTTTACGCTAAAATATTTTGAAGGAGCCGTGATAAGTTAAGTCACATGAAAGTAAAGACTGAAAACTGTTAGAAATGAGACATAACCACTTGAGATGATACATTTTTGCACTGCTAACATCACCAAACACAAATGCAAAAAGAATGTGATGAATTTAGGAAATAATTACTTATAGTTGATTTATAGACTGGACATTAATCTATAGATTGTATTTTAACATGGAAAATATCACACCCTTGAACTGTAACATTCTAATCCCACAGTCCTTAAAAACGACCATTTTCTCTTCATTTATTCACTCTAATGCTGTCCCAGATGTATATGACTTTTTTCACAACTTTTTAGACTTTTTGACAAAGTGGATGCTTCAAAAAGCAAACACGACAGTAATCCATGCGACCCCAAGTGATGAATCAAAGTTCTCTGAAGTTAATCAATACATGTGTGAGAGAAAAATACTAATATTTATTCATTTTTTAAACTATAAACAATCACTTCAGACCAGCTGTCATCCGTGTGTTCGCTTGCATTGTATTTATGCATGATATAAGCTCTCTGAAGCTTGTGCGAGAACTGATGGTCCCGTGTGCTTCCATGCTTCTCATGAACCTGCATGTAACTGTGGTCGTATGGATTACCATCATGTTCAATTTGTGTGGTTTTTGAAGCACCAACTTTGGCGGTCCCATACATACACTTGCATTATATGGACTCACAGAGCTGGATTATTTTTCTAAAATCCACTGTGTACATCTGAAGGAAGTAAGGCTACGTTTACATGACAACGGTGTAGTCAAAAACGGCAAGGTTTTTCCCTTGCGTTTTTAAAAAGGTTCACGTATACATGACAACGTTTTCAAAATGATTCCATTTACACATATCTGCGAAAACGGGCAAAAACGCTGTATTATGTATGCCAGGCCAGTAGTTGGCGCTGTCACCTTGTTAGTAAACAGTACCTGTAGGGAAGTGACGATTATATGATGAACATGATGTGTCTCTGCTGTTGGTTGTAATATTGGTGAAGTAAATCCACACTTTGCTGAAGAAGCATTAGCAAACCCTTGAGCAGCAACAACAGTTCCATATTCTCCGCCATTGTTGTGTATGTTTGTTTGCGCTCGCCTTTAAAATCGATACGTACTGCGCATGTCTACATACCTAACACGTACTACGCATGCGCATGACATCATCGTTGCCAAAGATTCCCATATTGGGTGTTTACACGGAAACGATAACTGCCGTTTTCAAAAACTTCAAAAATATGCGTTTTCAGTCCCCAAAATGTCGTTGTCATGTAAACGAACAGTCAAAATGCATAAAAAGTTTCCCGTTTTTGGCTGAAAACGTTGTCGTGTAAACGGCCCATAAGCCATCCCAGATGCATATAAGGTTTTTGACAACCTTTTAGACAACTTTGACTTTTTTTTTGACAAGAGTCGATGCTTCAAAACAAAGCAAACATGACTTTAATCCATACGACCACAGTTGAGGAATCAATGTTCTCTGAAACAAAACAACACATGTATGTGACAAAAACACTAATATTTACTAACTTTTTTGCTTCCATAACTGGGGTTGTATGGATTACAATCAAGTTCAATTTGTGTGGTTTTTGAAGCGCCAACTTTGGTGATCCCATACACTTGCATTATATAGACTCACAAAGACGGATTTTTCTAAAAAAAAAAATCTTTGTATTCATCGGTTGAAAGAAAATCATACACATCTGGAACGGGTAAATGATGAGAGAATTTTCATTTTTGTGTGGAGTATCCCTTCAATCATCTGTTTAACACTGTGTACTCACTCAGGGATGGTTATAGAGCTGCAAACTATTCATGAACTCATTCTGCATGTCGTCAATGTCATCAGTGGTCTCAATGGGAATACTTGGTGGGTTCAGGAAGGGTGAGCATGGCATATTCTCATATTGATATGTATGGTCACCATACAATCGAAAGTCCCCATAACCCCCTACAGCTCCGTGGAGAGGCTCACAGACGTTGAGGTAGGGGTTGGCGTACAGCTGGGGGAAGCAGGGGCTCTGGCTGTGGAAGCGGCGGTCAGACGCGGGGCTGTGGCTGGGGCTGGTCGAGGGGCTGTGCGGAATGAGACACGTCAGCTGACAGCTGTTCTTCCTGGTGGGACGGTTGAGATCCAGTTTGGCGGTGAGGGGCTTGCCGATGCTAACGTCCATGTTCCACTGGACTAGCTCATCTAGGGAGTTAAACTGGACTTGTAGGCAGACAGTGAAAGCTAGTTCCTCCTGTAAATCAG